ACAAAAACCCACCTGGAGCTGGTGAGCTGACTCAATGGTTAAAATTCTTGTTATTCAAGTGAGAGGACCACAGTTCAGATCCCCAGAACCCACAAAAATGCTAGGTGGTCATTGTGGCCTCAGAAGGTGGAGACAGGGGATCCTGGGAGCAAACAAACTAGTGAGACTAACCATATTGGTAAGCTCTGCATTTGACTGAGAGACGCTGCTTCAAATAGAAGAGAACTGGGGTGGATTCCTAATATCAACCTCCAGCTTCCACATGCACAGGCACACATTTGAGCTTGTGCACACAAAGTGTCTCCACACATAAACACAGGCACACACCATACCCATACCCACATGAAAAAAATACAATTCCTGTGAAAACACTAAACTTTTGTCTTTTAAATGAATCTGTTAAGTAAGTGAAAATCCAAGGTAAGCTGGATAGAAAAATTACTAACATATATCAGACAAAAGATTTGCAAATTTATAAACAACTCTTGCAACTCAGTAATAATAGGATAAATTGCACAAATAAAAATGAGGAAAATAGACTTGTAGCTTAATGGCAGAACACTTGTCTAGAATACATGCAACTCTGACCCCTCTTCCCCCAATAATGAAGAAATGAGCAAACTATTTAAACAGGCTTCTCACAAAAGTAGAGATATAAATAGTGAAAGAGTGCATTAAAATACACCAGTATCACTGGCTAACAGAAAAAGGAAAATAAAAGATACAGCTATACGCCCTTTGGAATAGTTAAAATTCAAATAAATAAATAAATAAATAAATAAATAAATAAATAAATAAATAACTTGGCCATATTGAGTGTGGGTGAGCATGTGGAGAAACAGTAGTTTTCCTCCTCTTCTGATTGGACTGTAAATTGGTAAAGCCACATTGGAAATGAATTTCAGAGTTTTTTAAAAATTAAACATGCAACTTCTATACAATATACAATTCTATATATTTGCCCAAGAAAAATGAAAACATATGATTACACATGACATGTACATCCATGCTTATATAGGCATTCTTTGTAAAACACAAAAGTTAGAAAGTACCTAAACGTTCATCAAACAGATGATGTTGTATCTAATAAGAGCAATGAAAACAAAGCTATTATTAGATGCTACATCACTATGAATGAAGCCAGAGAAAAATAATAGATACTATATGCTCTATGCACAATATAGACATGTATTATAAAACATATCTCCTAGTGCCATGATCTTAAGGCAGGATTCCAACACCATTTTTTGTGGGGACACAAGCATTCAATCTATAACACTGCACTCTTTGTTGTAAAGTCACCCTCAGTGATATCTCCATTTCCTGTAATTTTAGGAGAACAGTATATGCTGCTTTGATGGGTCATATTGATGGTAAACCCGGCAGGATCTAGAATCAACTTGGAGAAAACCCTCTGGGAATGTCTGTGATGGATTTTCTAGCTTAGTCCACCTAAAAATGCCAGACTGAATGTTGAAAGCAAGCTTAGTGGTCAGCTTTCATCGCTCTCTGCTTAGTCCTGATGGCACAGAGAATCTGAATGGCAGCCTGAAGCTCCTATCACCTTGCTTTCTCTGCCATGGTTGCTGTTGCCTTCAACAGTGAGTCAAAATAAATCCCTCCTTCCTTTACTTGCTTTCATCAGGTATTTTGTTATAGCCATGGGACAAGTAACAAATACAGCTGCTTTGTAACATAAGACTACCTTTCCTCTTTTGGGAGATCTCCTCAATTTTTTTCTCCTTCATTATCAGGCTTTTATCCCAAGCTTTTCTCTGAAATATAAAACCATGCATATTTCCTTAAGAAACTAAAATCTATAAACATGAACACATAAAGGGCTGATAGATATGAGTTTTGCACTCTTTTGTTTTCCTGGTTTATCCACTTTTATTGATTTTCATAAAAGAATTGTGTTCTTTTCCTTGAGGTTCTCTTTAGAAGTATTTACTGATATCTTTATGCTGTCACTTTAAAAAGACAGACTATAGTAACAACTAAGATCAGGAAATTTTGACTGTCACATATGATATATAAATTAATGGAATTTCTCACTGGGATAGTTCAGGTTTCCTTCAATCACATTCTCATTTGGCCTTTTTTTTAGTTTTTTTCCAGAAAATCCTGTCCTCTATCTTCATAGAAACTGCTAAGAACAAATCTTCCTTTAAATTTAAGCAATCATGTCACGGCCTTTGAACTTTACTTCTAGAAATTTCTGTACCCATTCTCAATACCATCGATGTGTGAAGAGATGGATTGTTTTGTGTTATTGAGAACTGAACACAGTGTTTCACACATGCTAAGCAAGCACTGAGTTACACATCCATTCAATGGAGGGCTTTCATTTGGCTGAAAACAAAACAAAACAAAAAACATTGTGGTCCTATTCCTTGACCTGTGCTTACTCTAGAACGTTACAGTCTTAGCATTCTGCTCTCCCAGAAACATTAATGGGATGGAGCTCATTCAAGTACTTGAAAAAAGCACATTTTAATCCAAACATTGAGCTTTATTTCTTCCACAAAGTCTTCCCTCATCCATAGCCTTTTCTACAAACCTGTTGAGGGGAGCTTCTGTTTTTCTCCAGTGATTGGAATCATGTTCTGATCCCGCCCATATTCTTAGCTTAAAAAAAAAAACAGGTTAACAGGCGATCCAGAATTGCTGCTTGGCCAAGAGAGGCTACGGTGGCGGCTATAGTACTGACTTTTAAAATTACTAAAAGAACATTCATGAAATTCACTCAATCTATTAGATTTTATTAACCGCCTTTGGACTTATCATCATGCATTTTCTGACTACACTATTGTCCTTTTTTTCTAGAAAGATGAGAGACTGTTATGGCTCCAAAATTAGGAGGCTCAGAGTTGGCCTTTAAATTTGTTTTTGAACATTAAACAAATAGTGATTTTGTACAAGTGTGCATGTTTCTTCATTCACACTGATTGGCATTTATTATATGCTACAAAGATGTGCAAACAATGCTCTGTGGAACCACTGGGAGAAGATAAACCCCTTGAATAGGGAATAGGTAGAGCAAAGCTGTGGTCACAGCCCTTCTATTAACTGGCTTTGTGGCCTTAGGTAAATCATTTCTTATCCAGTCTCCTTATTTGTGAAGTCCAGTTTGACCTGAGAAAACATTCCTGAAAGACCTGAAACTGCAATTACTACAGGAAAACACTTCAAGACATAGCTAAGGGCTTTCTGAATAGGACATCAATAGTCTAGAAATAATAGTGAAAAATGACAAATGGGATTGTATCTGCACAGTAAAAGAAACAACATAGTGGCAAGAAAGCATACAGAATGGGAGAAAATCTTTGCTAACAATTCATCTAACAGGATATTAATATCCAGAACACATAAAGAACTAAAAAAAAAAAAAATGCTAGGCCTAGCAGCACATCCTTTAATACCCAGCTAAAGTAGGAAACCCATAAGTTCAAAGCATATCTGGGATACAGAGTGAATTCAATGCCAGTCTGAGAAGCTTAGTGATACCCTGTCTCTAAATTTAAAAAAAAATTAGAAAAAAAAAGGCTGGAGATGGAGCCCAGCAGTAAAGTACTTGTATAGCGTAAAATAGACTCTAGGTTCAATTCTGTGTGCCACCAAAATAAATAAATAAATAAATAAATAAATAACAAAGAAAACTCATTTTTTAAAGTGAATATACAGTAATAAAAATAAACCTTTCTGTGGTCTACATAGAATTGTTTTTGAAGTGCTGGGGAGTGAAGCCAGGGCCTAATTCATTCTAGAAAATGCTGTATCACTGAGTTACATTCTCAGCCCTTAGAAACACTTTTAACAGTGATATTTCCTGCACATAGAACTGCCGAAACAATTCCATTAACACTAATGGAAGATGGCCTTCATTTTCTGATGTTGGAGACTGAATTCATGGCCCTACACACATTAGGCAGGTGCCCTACCACTTTGAAGTGCATGACTTAACCCCTGGACTGTGGTTTTAATTGCTTTTCATGGCCCACGAAACCATTTCCATGAGCCGTAATGGATGGTGTTACTTCAAAGAATACTAGACTGGAGGGCTTTTAAGGTTTTTCTCTAAATTTCCTAATGTTCTAACCATTAAAGTGGCTATTGTAGATATAAAAAGAGAAATGCAGCCTCATTTACATTGCCTCTTTGAATAGCCTCAGCCTGTGTCAGTTACTAGTTAAATATTATGCAACCCAAAGAGAGGACACTATAGGAAATGTCCTAGGCCAAATCCATCCCATGAAAGATATACAGTAGAGGGTATCCCTGGTACTTAGCCTCTCTGAACTCCAGCGCTCTCATCTATGAAGACAGGATACCAGACATTATAGGCAGTAGTGGGATAAAGAGAGTCTACATATTAAAGTATTGATGGGGTGAAGACCTCTGGGCGACTCAAGGCACCCTCAGTCATATTTTGTCTTGCACAGTGACTACCCTCCAATTTGTCATAGCCCCTGGTATTTCTATAACCAGTCTATTTAGGATCTTGTACCTTTAAATATTTTGCCCACTAAAACTAGATGGTCATCCTGCTTTTCTTTCTGCTTAATCTGACATAATATACATAAACTTGGGTACACACACACACACACACACACACACACACACACACAACCAGTTTGCATAACATAGTACTTTGGAGTACCTCAGATTTACCTAGGGATCTTGTTTAAAAATGGAGACTTTGGAATTCTGTATTGTGGGTATGGCTAGGCACCAGAAGTCTTACATTAAAAGCCTCCCCTACAATTTGTTTTCATAAAGATGCTAGGTTTACACTCTTTGAAAAATACTAGATATAAATTCTTAGACTGTCACATGTTGAATCATGGGTATCACTGTTCCTTACTGATTGACTGGGGGCATGAAAAATGAATTGTCAATGACAAAAAATTTTGAGTCCATGTACCTGGGAGAGGAAAGGCACTATTAAGAAAAAGAAAAAAGAAAAAGGACTAGGGTGGAATAAGATAGTTGAGCATATATTGCTTTTTAAACTGCTTTATTAATTTCAAACTATGAAAAGAGTAATTTTTTTTTGTAAAACAGGTGAAATTACCATGCTCAGAGAAACGTATAGAAGGAAAAAAAAATCACTCAGAAACTGTTAAGGGGAAACACCAAAACTTTACAGAAAAGTCACTAAAATACTAGCTTGTAAAACAGTAACCACTTTATGCTCCTTGGAGCAAACCTTAGGTTTCAAGGTATGAGGCAAAAATCATAATGATTGTCAGGCTCCGGTGTTCGGAAACGCATGTAAGGCATCATCTGCTGCTCCCTAGTCTTTTTCTTCACTTCCATCACCTGCCCCACAAACCTGCCTACATCGTCTTCCACTTCATTGTGATCAACATGTCTATTAGGTATGGCCCATCGAAAATTAGGGACAAGCCTCCTAACTCGTCCCCTCCTGACATTTCCCCCTGGCTTCTTGCTCTCAGTCCCTCCTAAATGGTGGGATTCTTCATTTTGCTTGGAGGACTTCCCTCCTTCCTTTTCTTTTTCATCATTCTCCACGTTGAGATCCTTTACTGCTTGTTCCTCTTTGGACGACATTGCTCCTAGGAGACAAGATATAGGACCACTTCCTCGGTGTACTGATCAACAGAGAACAGAGGCATAGGTCTAAGCCTAGCCCTGAGCCCTTCCCTCCCCAAAGCCCACCATTTTTCCTGCAAACTCATCTGTGAGACTCTGTAGGTACAAAAATGGAAACCAGGGAAGGGAGAAGAGGATAAAACTAGAGAGGAGAAAGTTGGGCTTGGGAGTGTCAGACACGGCTTTACAGATGTGGCTTTCTTCCCTCCCATCTCCCAGCACTGCCCCTGCACAAACCTGGGCCTATCCTTGGTTGCTCTTCCTCCTCTGGATTCTCAACGCTAGGTGCACCGCCGGACACTTGGTTCCTCAGACCTGCAAACAGCAGGGGTGGGGTGCGATGAGAGCAAGGACTGTAGGGTGAGAACCGGGACCACTGCGGCGCAGCCCGGCGTCCCCTCCTCTGCCCCCGACCACCATTCAGCACCCAGGAGATAGGGTGGAGCGGGCTGGGAAGCTGGGGCAGGGCATTTGTAGGTGTCCGGAGGGTCTCCGCCTGGGCCCGCCCTTGTCCTGCCGCCCACTGCGCACATAGGGCTGGACACCTGCGGCCGGGGCTGCGCTGCTGTCGACAGCAGGGCTGGGGGCGGCTGGACAACGACGACCAGGATGGGCTCCGAGGGTCTGTGCCGCGCTCCCTTCCTACCCCGGGCGGCTCGGCTAGCTCACCTGCTCCACTCCTGCGTTTCCTTTCCTATCCTCCCAGGGCCGCAAGCTCACTGCGCCGCGCTCACTGCGCCACCAGGAGCTGCGCCAACAGGAGCAGGTGCAGGGGAAGCGGGCGGGAACCGCAGGTCCAGGGACCCAGCGAGGGGCGAGAGCCTGCGTGGGCGAGTCACGTGATCCGAGTCACACCGAAGCTCCGCCCGTGGTCCCCGCCCCCTCTTCACACCCAGAGCAGGGCACCAGGAGATGGCTAGGCCCGTTCCTCATACGCAGGTTCCCTTGGACATCTCCAACCTGAGCCCTGCTACTTTGCCTTCGTAGTGGGGTCCTGGCCATTTCCTTGCCTGCCAGGAAAGGGCAGTATTTTCTCAAGTGGGCTGCTGGTCATTTCCCACTTTTCTGGGGGATTGCCTTCCCCACTTCTCTCCTCCAGGGATGTCTCTCAAATGTGCCCTCTCCATTACCAGGGCTCTTTTTTTCAGAATTTAAATGGAGGTAGGGCTGGGGGAGATGGTTCAGTGGTTAAAGCTCTTGCTGTGCAAATATGAGGATTGGAGTTGAGATTCCTAGAACCCATGTAAATGCAGAATGCGTGTAAATACCTGGTGTGCAGCCTGTAATTATAGCCTCAGAAGTCGGAGATGGGATCCACAGAACTAATTGGGTAGTGAGACTGGCCATATGGGGAGCTCTGGCTTTGGTTGAGACACAGTGCCTCATTGAGTAAGGTGGAAGAGTGATGGGGAATAATTTACATCATCGCACATGTGCACCCATACTCGTGTGCCTGCACACTTGCAAACATACACATGAACAACACGTACATGAAATAGGGGGAAATAATTTAAATGGAGGCAAAAATATTAACGAAATATTTCACGCAATCTTTAAAAGAAAAAAATGAGAATAGTGCAAGAGTGCTTATGATGAACAAGATGTCAGGAACTCAAACACATACTGCTACACATCCAAATTGCAGTCGTCCTGCTACCATATTGGAGTGCAGAGAGGAATCAGGAAATGAAATAAGAGCGAATTTTTTTCTAATTGTTCTTTTTAAAATTTTCATTTATTTATGTGTATGTGTTTTGCCTATATATATGTGTGTGCATATATATGCATATAAAAAATATATATTGCACCTGTGTTGTACAGTGTCCATAGAGGACAGAAGAGAGCATTGGATCCCTTGGAACTGAAGTTGCAAATGGCTGGTAGCCACCATGTGTGATGGACTGAACCCAAGTCTTCTGTAAGAGCAGCCTACAAGCAGCTAGTGCTCTTAACTGCTGAGCTATCTCTCCAGCTCTCTAATTGTTCTTAATACCTATGTATTTCGTTACTTTTCTGATTAAAACTTATATTCATTTTATTTTAACATTAAATTTATTTTGATTTTCTATTATGGGAAATTTCAAGGATATTAAAAATACAAAAGAATAGTTAAGCTCAGGTACTCATGACCTAGCTTCTACAGGTTAAGTCATGGCAAACTTGATTTTATCTTTATCCTTACCTACTCACTACACTTAGAGATTATTTTTGAGTAATTTTAGAGACAGAATATGAACTTAGTCATGTATATTTCCAAGTCAAGTTTTTATTTCTAAGATAAGGATTGTCCACATATAGTCACAGTTCCTTAACACATAATATATATGTATATGGTTCACAGTTCCTTAATATTTTATGTCCAAATTGTGTTCATGGGCCAGTTGTATTGTAGGTTTTTAAAATTGTTTGAAATAGGAGCTAAATAAGATCCATGCACTTTGATTGGTTGCTGTATCTCCTACATTTCTTTTAATCTATACAATCTCAATTTGCAGTAGTCTCTAATTTAAATGCTGATGAAAGGAGTCATTTGTCTGATATTTCTTCACAACCTGCATCTTGGTGTTATAATCATCATTAATATATGCCTTTTATGTTTCCTATCAAATGGGGCTTAATTATAGAAAAGAATGAATTGAAATTTAATGTGGTGGTTTGAATGAGAATGGCCCCATAGGCTCCAAGTATTTGTATATTTTGTCCCTAGTTGGTGGCACTGTTTTGGGAGGTCTTAGAAGGTGCGGCCATGCTGGAGGAAGCACATCACTGGGGGAGGCTTAGAGAGTTCTTAAACCTTTCCAGATCTCAAGTTTCTGTACTTGTTTCCTATGGCTATTTAAAGATGTGAGAGCTTAGCTTCTGCTCCCTCTCCAGCCACCACTGCCATGATGGACTCTTGCCCCTTTGGAACTGTAAGTTCAAATAAACTCTTCCTTCTATAAGTTGTTTTGGTCAGTATTTCTATTACAGCAACAGAAAAGTAACTAATACATTTACTTTTTACTCAGGTTCTTCCAAGAGCAGATCTTTGTCTCTTGATTTGTTGTTTGATAAATGGTGAATATTGCCTATTTTCTGTTTTCCTTTTTGTTATTTTAACTGGAATACTGCAATTGACACTTAACTGTTTTAGATTTAGACTTTTCTCCCTACAAGGTGAGTTTAGAACAGAGAACCTTATGAAAGTGGTTTATTGAGATAGTGTTCTAATGTTAAAAGGAGCAAAGGAAGTAGAATAGGGAGAGGAGATTGCAACTTTAGTTAATCCAAACTGGAGACTGAAGATCAGTGGTCACACCTTGATAGAAAGGCTGGCTTTGTACCCAAATGCCAATCAGCCGCAGATCAAATATTAGTGGTAAAATAGAGCATAGATCTAAGGAAGGTGTCTCTCATTTCACCAAGGACAATTGTCTGGAGAAGCGGCAACATTTGAGTTGTTAGAAACTAAATGCTCAGGGCCAGGACAGGCTTGATGCATATGATCTATGGTATACAACACAGTGTTTTTTGTGTGAATATATGTGGAAAATCCTTATCTTAGAAATATGAATGACTTTGAAATATGCATGTAAGGAGTGTAGCTGGTCCATGAGAGAATACATTTGCTGCAAATCACAGAACTTGAGGGAAGAAGGATTCTGCCATGAGCCTCAGAAGGTGGACATGCAGCTGCAGGATTTTATGATTTTCTCTACTGAATTTTGGTCTTGTTTGGTCTCTGATCATTCCTTGCTGTAGTCCCATTATTCCCTTTTGGAATAGGAATGTTTATTGTGTGCCATTGTAGGTTGGAAACATGTAACTTTTTGATTTCATAGAAACTCATAGTTCACAGATTGCCTTGAGTCTCAGAAGAGACATGGATTTTGGATTTTAAAACACTATTGGAATAGTTGAAGACTATAGGAGTTTCTGAAATTGAACTGAATTAATTTTGCATTATGAGATGGCCATGAGTCTATAGGGGACAAGATATGGAAGATTATGGCTTTAAAATGATGTGCTTCAGTGTCAACTTGATATAGAGTTGAGATGATTAATATATTTATTTTACTTTCCCTTTACTTAATCCTTATTCCAGCTCTGAAGCATAACTAGGGGTGATGGTTTATTGTCCCATTGAAGAGATGATAAACTTATGCTCTTTTATTTTTATAGATGTTCTTTTATTAGCATATACTGATTATACATAATAAGTTTCATTATGGCGATAGATAGATAGATAGATAGGTGATAGATAGATAGATAATATTCACCCCCATTTCCTTTCCTGTTCCTCTCCCACTCTTGCTGATTTCCTTCCTCTTCCCACATAGTACCTTTATATTTCCCTCCCTCCCTTTCTTCCTTCCTTTTTTCCTTTCTTCCTTACTCTTTGTCTATTTTCTCTCTTTCTTTCCTGCAGACCCATTGAGCTTAACTAGGATTGCTTACAGGGTCCTGGGTGAGGGATTATTTAGAGAAGCATGAACTCCTTATCAGTGACCATGCCACTGAAGACAATGTCTTCTTTCTTAGTGAGCATAAATACACAGGGAGGGGTGTGACTCTGTGAGCTCCTCCTCATACCTATCGTTATCTACCTATAGGCCATGGGGATTCTCAGGGGCCCTTCTTCCCTTGTGACAGAGTGTTAACAGGTCCATTCTTGCACAGGTCATGTGCTGTTAATGTCAACTGCTGTGGGATCAAGAATGCAGCATCAACATCATTTTCTGAGGTCAGTATTTTCCTTCACTCCTCTCCTTCCTCCAATTCTTTTCATTCTTGCTACTTGTGTTCCACAATGTTCCCTGGGCCTTGAAGGGAGTGATATAGAACTCCCATTTATGGCTGCGCATTCAACTGTCCCCTGTTGCATTAGTCACTTTTCTGCTGCTGTGATAGGAATACTGACCCAAGTAAATTATAGAAGGAAGAATTCATTTGAGCTTATGGTTCCAGGTAAATTACAGTCTTTCATGGAGGGGAGGCCTGGTGGTAGATATGGCTGGAGTAGGAGCAGAACCTAAACTCTTACTTAGGTAAGAATCTTCGAGCAGGCAGAGGAAACAAGAGAGTGACTCAAGATTGGCAAGGCTTAAGAACTCTCTAAGCCCACCCCCAGTTTTGTGCTTCCTCCAGCATGGCCACACCTTCTACGACCTCCCAAAACAGCACCACTGACTGGAGACAAAAATGTCCAAATACTTGCAGCCTATAGAAGACATTCTCATTCAAACCACCACACCTGCACCTGTTCTTAGCACTTAGCATTTTGATGAGTCATGAGTTTCTGCATCAACTGCTGCCCACTGCAGAAAAAGAACTTTTTTTCTTTTTACAAAAAATGTTTATGGGTTTTATTCTGGCCTTTTCATAAACTTATAACTTTGTTTTATCTTTTCCCACAACCTCTTATTTCTTTGATCTCACTGCCTTCCTGCTTAACTCTTCCTCTCTAGAATCCCTCTTCTGTTTTTATTTCACAGGTATTCTGTTATCTCTTCCTGAAAGTATTATTTTCTCCCAGTTCATGGGTTGCTTTCTTGGTCTTGTATCAATTGACTCTCCCCTAAATGCACATATAGAAACACTAGCACTTAGATTCCACATGCAAGAACACATATGGTCTTTCTCTTTCTGACCTTGACTTACCTCACTTAATATATTTTCCAGATCCATCCATTTTCCTTGAAATTTTCATAATTTCATTTTTCCTTACAGCTAAATAAAATTCCATTGTATGTAAGTACCATTTTTCATTACCCATTTATCATTGAACTAGGCTAATTTTATTTCTTAGCTATTGTGAATAGAGCATCATTGCAGCAGGAAAAA